GTTTTGGGCTCAAGTGGTGCCAAATCGCAGGACAGACACAAACCAGTGATGAGTTGCTTTCAAACACAACAAACCAATTGCGAGGCCGAGACTCTCCGCGTCTTCCGATTACTCACATCTCAGGTATGACTGCTTTGACAGCACTTCCAACACATCCAACACTTCCACGCAATAGGCTATTGAATATCAATACCAATGTTGTGATTGTCTTTTGGCAGGTCTTCGGGAAACTCATCTCAGGAGAGGCCGACTCGGAGAGTGTGAAGAATGAGACGCCAGGCCTTCAATCGGAACAGTCGGTGCCCGACAGCGGAGCCAACGGTGCGGCCAATGATTTGCGCGAACATATGGTCGGCATTCTGTTCAGTCAATCGGGAAAACTATCGCATCTCCAGAAACAGGTCTGTCATCGAAGGGATAGTCGTGTGTTTGGTGTCTAACGGTGTGTCTGTGTGTCTGTCCCTCAGGTGTGCGCACATATAGTTCAGGCCATTCGAGTGGAAGCCCTTCGCCAGAGAGAGGAATGGGAGGCACTGTTGTGCTCGAAGTCGTCGTCGGTGTCATTGGGCGGCGAAATCCCGTCCGACGCCTACTGTTTCGAAATGCTGTCAATGGTGTTGGCGCTGAGCGGGTCGTCCGTCGGGCGCCAGTACTTAGCCCTTCAGAACGACCTGTTGCTCGACCTCTTGAACCTCTTGCACACCGGATCCGCTCGAGTCCAGCGACAAGTGATCGCTCTTTTGCGTCGAGTTTTGCCCGAAATAAAGCCATTAGTTTTCGGCAAAATGTTTGGCATCCCTTCCCTCCCGCCCCGGGATGTCATTGTGTCGAACGATAAGCACGAGTTCGACATCCATTCGGTCGGAATTCTGGACGTATTCCTCGCGTGTATCGCAAAGTCACTGACAGTTCAGACCAAAGTGAAGGGCAGTGTCGGCGGCACCGGTAGTAAGAGTGTGACGACTGTCACGTTGGCCACAGCTATACACCCGAGAGACCCGTTGGGAGAGCGCTGGTGGTTGAGGGGCTGTCTGTCCCGCAAACTCTCTGAGTGTATAATCGGGTTATTGAAGGACATGTCGGCCGGAAAGCTGAGCGACTCGTGGGCTGTCGTCACCAAAAACGCTATTTCCCAGAATGTCCTCAATTTGACACTAATTGATGAGCGCATGAGAGGTCCGACGGAATGCATCAAAACGCCGACCCTTTGGTTGGCTTTGGCCTCACTCTGTGTGTTAGAGTCAGAACACGCGGAAAGGCTGTCCTCTAGTCATTGGGTGACTGCCGGCGATCAGGAGAATGGGAACCAACAGTCGAGGGTCTGTCCATTGAGTCATTGCATTGAGTACTGAATTGATGTCTAATTGTTGCCTCATTTGCAGCCCTTGTGTGACAATCACGAGGACGGGGAGACTCCGGCTATCATTCTGTGCAACAGTTGCGGCAATTTGTGCGCCGATTGCGACCGATATCTTCACTTACACTCCAAGACCCGATGCCATCAAAGACAGGTATATGTCATGTCTTGAGATCTGATTTGTGAACAAATGTCTCATTGGATGACCAGATCTTCAAAGAGGAAGAGGAGGCCATTCGAGTGGATCTACACGAGGGTTGCGGTCGAATCAAACTGTTTTGGGCGATGGCTTTGGCGGACTCCAAGACATTGAAAGCGATGGTTGAGTTCAAAGGCGAGTCGACCAGAACTAAGGCGTCGCTCATGAGTGGCGAGAAGTCGGTGTCTGCGGCCATAACAGGCATCTGTCGCTTCTGTGGCACCACTGGAAACACCGGACTCCTGGCCATCGGCAACGTCTGCAGTGAAGTCGAGTGTCAGGAGTACGCGAAGAACGCGTGCCATAAGAGCCTCTCGTGTGGCCATCAATGCGGAGGAATAGCTAACGAACGCAAGTGTTTGCCGTGTCTTCAGGGCTGTAGTGGCGGTCAACTGAGACAAGACGGCGACGACATGTGTATGATTTGCTTCTGTGAGGCCCTGTCCTGCGCGCCGGCCATTCAGCTCGACTGCGGACATGTGTTTCACTATCACTGCGCTCGAGCGGTTCTCGAGAACCGGTGGTCGGGTCCGAGGATTACCTTCTCGTTCTCCATGTGTCCGATCTGTAAGAATCGTATCCAACACTCGGCTTTGGAGGAGATATTGGCGCCCATTAGGGGTCTCTACGAAGACGTGCACCGGAAGGCACTCATGCGACTCGAGTACGAAGGCCTCCACCGGTGCGAAGCCATCACCGGAATGGGCGGCCGTTTCCACAACGACGCGGCCAACTATGCGATGGAAAGGTATGCGTATTATGTTTGTCACAAATGTCGGAAAGCCTACTATGGAGGGGAAGCGCGTTGTGATGCGGAACTGGGTGTCGGCGATAACTACGACCCCTCGGAGCTCGTGTGCGGCGGCTGTTCGGACGTATCGCGCGCTCAGATGTGTCCCAAACACGGCACCGACTTCTTGGAGTACAAGTGCCGCTACTGTTGCTCTGTCGCCGTCTTCTTCTGCTTCGGCAGCACTCACTTCTGCAACGCCTGTCACGACGACTTCCAGAAGCTCACGAATCTCAGGGAATTCCCCAAATGCCCGGCCGGTCCGCGCGGTAAACAATTGGATGGCGACGAGTGTCCCCTCCATGTCATACACCCGCCCACTGGCGAGGAGTTCGCCCTGGGATGCGGTGTCTGTCGAAATGCTCACACTTTCTAATTGTTATCAATAGTTGTTGTTTTCTAATCCCTTTCCCATCCCTTTCCAGTCATTCGCTGTTTTATGCATTAATTTATTGAATCGTTTGTTGACTCCAATAATAACTCATTTGTATCTCTCAATGACTCCACGGTTTTGTCACTAAAATTGTTGTTATATTTTTCAACCAATTATTTATTATTTTATAGAAATAATTTAAATATTGTTTATTGATATATAAAAGTACTTATTATTTGATTTGTATAAAAAATAAAACAAATTTTTCTATGGATTTCATCATTCATTTTGAGACTTGAAAACTAATTGAAATATTAATTTAAACTTAATTTTAATCATAACTCGAGCGACAGTTCATTCGTTTGACTATCGGTTGAATCGTTTGTATAGTTATTATAAATTAGAGTCACTTTATCACCGCTTCTGGACTTCGGCGACGAAATGGACGGCGGAATCACTTCTAAATCAGTTTTGGACGACCGCTCACTCGAGCGCCGGTCCTCATGCCTGCCCTCATGCCTTCCCGCCACCTCCACCTCATCCCTGGCCTCCTCTTCATGCGGCGACCGATTGCCGACGAGATCGTGGATCGGAAGGAAATGTGACTTATGTTTGGAACCACACAACTGAATGGTTGTCGACATGTTGGGCGTCGACTGGAATGGACTGCACGGCAGCTCATCCTCACTGCCCTCACCATCGCTCTCACAACTGGAGCCGTCGTCGAAGTTCACACATTTGGCGGCAGTACTCGTGGTCTCGAGGAACGGCTGCAGCGATTGTATCACTCCTTTCAGCTCTTTATAGTTGTCCTCATTCTTGGTGTACGTCTCGTGCTCTTCGCTCTTCAGATGCTTTACACCACAAAAAGAAACACAAATTCAATGAGTCTTTGGGTTACGATTGAGTCAAACATTTCATACAAACCTCCGACAGGTCCTCGTATTCTGTGCCACAGATCTCACAATAGGCTGGCGTTCGGCGCCTTTTGATTAGATTCTTCTTAATGAGTGTCACGTCTTTTGGCGGAGTCTTCGCGTTCTTGTCACCAGTTTTTGTCTTAGTTTTATGGCTTTTAGTCTTATTATTCACACACTTATTGTCGGCATTCATGCCATTCGTGAACTGTTTGTCGTTAAACCTCTTGACGGCCAGCCCTTCGAGCGACTCAATCGGCTCAACGACTCTCTCTTTTTGTACTCTTTTCTTAACGAATGGACACAAAAACTCGTGGAATTCGTAGCTAATGGTCGGCCACTCGAAGAACTCCTTATATATGGGTCGGTGTTGGAGGCGATTGTCCTCAACCTTAATGTTGGGTCCATTGAAGCGCTTGATTTGCGCCGAATTGACGGCACAATCGTTGACCACTTGTGGACTCAAGTGATTCTTACAGAACTCGAGCACATCCACGTCCTTCAGGATCGTTATGTTCAGGAATCGACCCCTTTCTAAGACATCGGTCGGGAGGGCCGGCGGCTTCACCTCATTCACGGTATTCGCCCTAATCTTCGACAGTAATAGCGATCCTCTCGACTGCCATAAAGACAACAAACAAAGCATACATTCATTGATAAAATGGACACAAAATACTGAAACCAATGACAAAATACATACAAAACTGGAGTTTTTGTTCAAATTGATGGGCGATTGGACGGTGTGTTCGCGACAGGCGTCCGATTGTCTCAGTTTGTCGGCACCGGTAGTCTTGGGCGGCCACTGATCCTTAGGTCGCGATGTGATTATGTACTTCACTCTGTGGTCGAGGAAACCGCGGATCTCCTGTCAGACAACAGACAAACCAAACAATGAGCCCTACGTTTGCAGACCACAGGCCAACCCCCGGGGGTCCCCACCGGTGGACACATACCCCTCCCAATCGGGCGATGAGTTGATGCAACTGTCGGCCAATTTGTGGCGAGTTTTCCAAATCAAAGTAAAAGTTTTTGCCCTCAAAGCCAGCCATTCGTACTCACAGTCAACACAAACACCGCTATAATTGTTATGCAATACTCCACACAAACACTGATTCACTGATTCATATATATTTGGCACTCATTTATGGCGTAAATCGTAACCCAATGAACGCATACTTCGTACTCACAGTCAACACAAACACCGCTATAATTGTTATGCAATACTCCACACAAACACTGATTCACTGATTCATATATATTTGGCACTCATTTATGGCGTAAATCGTAACCCAATGAACGCATACAAGCGGTGAATCAATGGATGGGTAGTCGGACACAGAGACCACTGTTTGACCGCCAAATCGCGCCTCACTTTCCCTTTGGAAGTGAGTCTCTGTTTGCCTCTCAATGTATTGCGCCCTCCGTTGCCGCCAATCAATGCATACAAACGCCGGCCAATCACTGCCTCTCACTCACCAATGCCTACACTTTTGCACTCTTTTTGAAACACACAAACAAAACGTGTGTTTTGTGTGGGAGACCAGTGTTGTCTAGATAATCTAGTTTTCAATCCCTTTTTTCACTTCACTATGAATCACACGTCTAATTAAATTGTTATCATTTTTTACATTTTAATTATAAAAAAGTTTTCAAAACTTAAGTCAAATGAATGCGAAAAATAGTTTCATTCATAGCCGACAGTATGGATGTAAGCGCGCGTGTGATTGGCTGAGTGTACGCCACGTGACTCACACAGCGATGCCGTGCACTGTGTGTGTGATATTCAGCAGTCATTCACTGTGTGCTCGCATTGAGAGTGAAGTGTATGTTAGATGTGAACGATTCGTATGGTTATAGTGGAGAGAGAGTCACACTCTCTGCTAATATAACGTCTAATTAATAGGCATTTAATGACAATCAGACTTAACACACGTTCACTACTATGACAGACAATGTATTGTGTTTTCAGACACTTTTTCCTAGTTTTCATGTAATCTCTAATTAACACCACTTTTTCAATAAAGTTGTGTTTTTTATGATCGACAAAAACAGACCATAAGTTTGTTGTTTGTTTTGATCGTTTATTTTGGTGTTGTTTTGGACCCTGAACAAAGTTTCATTTTATTATTCAATTCAATAGTTATCCAAAAGTTGTTTCAAAAGTTTTTTTTAACTGTAATTTTCCACTTGTTTCGTACGATTGTGTCTCAATTGGTGTACATTTGATGTCTATTTAACGCTAATTATAACTCATTTGCGGATACTTTTCAAACCGTTTTGTGACCGAAACTGTTGAGCCATTTGTTTGGCAGACATTTGGATACATAATATAATCACACATTTAGTGGCCATTCACCGGTTCCTCCATTAGTGGTAAGTCTTGTGATTATATATATTGTAATGTATTTCATAAAACAAATGTATCGATAAGTCGGCACTATTTGCACAAAATGTGAAAACAAAACCCAATTACAGTATTTAAACACTTGTCTCCCAAATAACGCCCACTTTTGTCGCAAAACTTTTATGTATTTTGCGGTTAATTATTGTTTTGTATGTTAATTGTAAACTCACTGCACATATGTTGATTAAATTTGGTTTGTGTCTAATTTTTTGCACACAATTTACAATACATTTGCCATAAGAAAAAACTTAAGACCAATTGAAAATACTTGTGAATAAAACTCATAGTGTGTGTGAAAAGTGTTTGATTTGAAATTCAATACTAAAAGCAATTTAGGAGTCAAATAAAACTTATTTTAATTGAAGTCTCAATACATGTATAAGACATGAGATATAAGTTTATATAAACAGCAAAAAAGGCCAATAAATCTACTTTTAATATGGAAATAGTTTTTTAGTCATTATATTTGGGACTCATTTTATGAGCGATTTTTTTTGGGCTACACTTCGTAACCACAAATGCCTTTAAGTTATATTTTATATCAACATTTTTATTTGTTTTTTAATTAAATAAGTATTTTTTTACAAGTCTAATATAAAATTTTTAAGCTTTTTAATATTTTTCGTATTACTTTATATTGCCTTTTATGCAGACATTAATTCAATAAATTATTTTTAGGTCTGTTTTCCTAATGTAAGACTTTTAAAGTAGTTTTTGATTAAAAATTTAAATCAAATGAATATTTTGTGATTTTGACTTTTGTTTTTCGTTAACAAATTAGTTTTAAAATGAATGAATCGATTGGTGTTTTTGTTGTCGAGACACAAAAAGTTTTAAGTCTTCAGAAATTTAATCAATTTTTAACAAACGAGTCGAGAGAGAGAGAG